GTGAGGACAGGTTGAGAGAGTTGGGGTTGTTCAGCCTGGAGAAGAGAAGGCTCCAGGGAGACCTGATAGCGGCCTGCCAGTACTTCCAAGGGGGCTACAGGAAAGGTGGGGAGGGACACTTTGTCAGGGAATGCAGTGATAGGATGAGGGGTAATGGTTTTCAACTGAAAGAAAGTAGGTTTAGCTTAGCTATAAGAAACTCTTTACTGTGAGGATGGTGAGACACTGGCACAGGTTGTCCAGAGAAGCTGTGGCTGCCCCCTCCCTGGAAGGGTTCAAGGCCAGGTTGGATGGGGCTTTGAGCAACCTGGTCTGGTGGAAGGTATCCCTGCCCATGGCAGGGGGGGTTGGAATGAGGTGGTCTTAAAGGTCCCTTGTGACCCAAACTATTCTATGCTTTTATGATGATCAAAATTCTAAGTTTTTAAGTGCTGATAAGTAGTGAAAAGCAAAATGACATGCAGTGTAAGTTTGTCTCTGAAGAAATGATTCCTATGGAAGTATTAAATACATTAATTTTCGCTGTACTACTGGTACAACTGTCTAGAGGTAGAAGGGTGAAGTTCTTGGAATGCTTTTGTAACGTGGTGAAAAGAACAATATCATATATGGAACAGAAAACCTAGAAGTGGTAGAAGGAAGATGTAGCCTCAAACTATACATCCAAGTAAGTGGTCTGTCTCCTGAAATTCTAGTTATTTTCAGTAGGCTCTTTAATTAATCCCTTTGTTTTTTCTGGAGCACTGTGTCCTTCCCATGTCCTCAACTTGCTTCCTGGTGATTGTTGGACTTAATTCAGTTGTTAGGTTAGACTTTCTTGGGGAATTTGGCCAATTATTTTGTACTTCTTTGTGCAGGAGTGGTATTGCTCTGTTGATTTCCGTCTTTAAAGTATGTTTTGTCTGGCAATGAATCTTTATCAGAACTTGGTCTCCATAAGCATAGTCTGCAACTTGCATACAAGCCAAAGCCTATAACAAAAATTGAAATGTTCAAGCTTCACACAGTGTTTCAGATAAATAGATTTTTTCATTTGTTGATACTCATAAAATGTTAGAGTGCATAGTAAGGGTCTGAAAGTGCAAGGGTTTTACTAGAGCTGCATTCAGATTTTTTTCCTCCTAATTTAGCATTTTAAATTGGAAACTAAAAAAGTAGTGTCATATAACTTTGTGATTAAGAGCATGTCTATTAGCCAATTTGGAAAAAGGGTATTTCAGTATTCAAGACAATTGTAACTATAGCCAATAGGAATTTTGTCATTCAAAAGAAATTAGGGCAGACAGCATTCCAGTACTTAAAATCCCCAAATATTAACATGCTGATGGCTGTTAAGGAGTTACACATTTGATGGCTGATGCCTTTACCTGCTGGAGAAAGTGTCATGGTCTTTAGGAGTGAGTATGAGGACATGGAGTTTTACAGGTTGCTAGTACTAGAGATAAAAAACTGGGGAGAGGAGGCAGTGGGAATCACTAAATAACTGAACAGACGGTTAAACTGTACTAATAGGTTTTAAACTGAGATCAAGTTTTCAGTGAGACCTGTGAGTAGGTAGACAACTTTGCTAATCTGAAATCTACCTCTCGTGTAAAATTAAACTCTTACTGTTTTAATAGTTCAAGATAATCACATAGAAAACATAAGTAAGAATTGGCTTTTATTAGAAGTGTATTACAAACATATTTTTATTCCTTAAAGAAACAACATGTTCTATTATGTGTTTTCAGGGAGTATTGAATCTGTGCTTGGATTTTGTATGAACTCAGCAACAGACTTTTCCTTCCAATTTCATAGCTTTTTATTTAGGGTTGATGTATTTTTAGTAAAACAGTACCACGTTCAGGTTAACAGAAGACCCCTTAGTTAACACCGTGTAAATATTGCTGCTTGAATCTGCCTTTTCTGTCACACAACCTTACTAAAGTTGCAAAAGCAGTCCATACAGCTTCAGTTAGGCCTTTACTTCACTAAATTCTTTGACTTGTCATCACACCAGAGAGAGTGAGATGTGTAGAGTGAGGGCTGGAGCACCTCTCCTATGAAGAAAGGCTGAGAGAGTTGGGATTGTCAGCCTGGAGAAAGCCCTAAGAAGACCTTATTGCAACCTTTAAATACTTAAAGGAGGCTTATAAGATGGAGAATTATTTTTTATCAGGGTCTGTAGAGACAGGACAAGGAGCAATGGTTTTCAACTGAAAGAGAGGGTAAGTTTAGATTGGACATAAGGATTTTTTTACGATGAGGGTAGCGAGACACTGGCACAGGTTGCCCAGAGAAGTTGTGGCTGCTCCCTCCCTGGAAGGGTTCAAGGCCAGGTTGGACGGGGCTTTGAGCAACCTGGTCTAGTGGAAGGTGTCTCTGCCCATGGCAGGGGGGCTGGAACTAGGTGATCTTTGAAGATCCCTCCCAACCCAAACGATTCTATGATTCTATGATCTGCCTGGCAGTGAAAAATGGTTTGTGCTTCATGTGTGGATGATTCTTCTATTTTAGATCTTGCAGTAATGGACTGCCTGCATGTGTGAGAGGGCACAGAAAGCCAAATAAGTTCTTGAACAGCATAGAGACTGGCAGATGTGCTAAACCATACGTTGGATTATGCTTATTGCACTTAGAATACTTATCTGTAGAAACTCTTATTGAAGATATATAATAATCCATAATGATTCATTATCCATTCTCATTCTCCAAGTCCTATTTGCATGTTAGTCTGTCATCCCCTGAGGTTGTCAGTTCTGCAGTGGCTGTACACAATTTCTTCATTGCCTAACTTGAGCATATAAATCAGTCTTTTTTCTCAAGTGTGACTTTTTTTAATAGGCACATTTTTACAGCTGAACTGTTCTCTTCATAATGTTGCTAAAAAATTGAATCAGATTCACCAGGCAGAAGTATCTGCAACCAGAATAGACCAGCTGTATGTCCAACTCACTGCTTTGTTTCAACAGATGTCTGTGCCACATGCTGCAGAGGAAGATGAAAAATTGGACACAAACATTGGTTGCTTGAGGAAGTAAAATATTTAACAATGTTCATGAAAGTATTTCAATGTCTCTCTTTTTACTGGAGTGAAATCATTAAATAACTAGCTCTGTGTATCTGTAAGACATAGATCATATGTTGGACTATGTCTATGTACAGTTTATTAAACTAAGGAATTAACACTGGTTCTATCACAATCTGAAGTTAAAAGTAGTTTTTAGATAAAGAGGAAAATCCCCACAATTAGGCAGTATGTTGTGAAGTCTCTGAATCTGTTGCTTTATATGTATTTAGATATTTCACTGGCTATAAGGAAAAATACTGGGTAGAAAGGAAAATAAGTATATGAAATTTAAATTATTGATGGTAAAAGGACTATTCACATGGTCCACTGTTCATATCCATGTGTTTTCTTATATTGTTATGGTGTCTCACTTAATTTTCCATATTCCGTGAAGTAAACCAGTGAAGGTTCATTTTCTATCTTTATCTTGCCTTTGTCTAAGCACGATATGCTGACCTAACAAGCATGAATCATTTTTATTCCTAAAAGTACTAGTTTTCATCTTTGGTTTTTAATGGTTCCTTATTAATTTTTTTTTAGAGAAGGTATCAATGCTGCAGATCACTCTGCCTGACCTGATGTATTTCTTCTATCATCTTAATTTATGATATTTGTCCACAGATCTATCGTACTGGTTGAGTAACATCTGAACATCTTGATGCTGTTGAGGCTTCTGTAATGCCTTCAGAGTTTCTCAAGGCATATAATATATGTTTATGAGGATCCTAAGACAATGTTACTGTCTGTTACGTGGCAAAATGAAAATAATACTGGGGCCAGACTTTCGTCAGTGTTTACTAACTTCAGAATCCAAGTAGAAATGCCTGCAAGTTTAACTTTCACTTCTCATTAATTTCACTTGCAACAATTAATCATTCTATCTTAACTACGTGGTTCCAGCTGGAAACTTAGTATTAGTGATTGTCTCTAAAATTTTGATTTAATTTCTTTAATTAATTTTATAAAAAGAAGCAACTTTGCTCAGTACCCTTTTGAAAATATCCAGATTCCTGGGAAGTCTTTTGGGGCTTAGTGCACTGCATTTCAGCGTGGATTATTGACCTCAGCTTAACATTGTGCTAAGCATGCCTAGGTAGTTTCTTGTTTGGAGCTAGTTTATGTCTGGGTGGCTTGGAGCACAGGCAGAGTAAGTTTTCTACTTACAAAATTGCACGTAGGTCTACCCCTAAATGCTTTGATGTCCTTTATAAATCTGGTTTTGTCTCCTACAGTTGCATGCCTTGTTTTATATTTACAAATGTTCTCCTTCTGGGTGAAGTGTGTTTTGTATTTAAATTCCAGGCATCTATACTGGATTCTAAGAGAAATCCTGTTGAATTTTGTTACTTTTCAATAAGCATCATCTCGTGTAGATGTACAAATTCTGTTGGTTCCTGATGCTCAAAAATGAGGTTGTACATCTGGAATTAATAGCAAGGGAATAAATTATACATAAGTGTAGTATGTTCACGATGCAGTGTCTTGGTATGTCACCTTTGCTTAAGTTACGATGCATTAATTATATAGAAGTTTCAAACACATCAAATTATAGTGTTAAAACTAAATGATGAGAACACTTGGTAAATTTGTTTGAGCCTAATTTTTTTTCCTCAATAACAGGTGTATATAAATGTACCATGCAATATGGATTTACCATAACCTTCTCAGTTCTTTTCAGAGTTGAATGATCATACGGAATCATCCATAATGCTAAATATAGCTCTTAACTTTCTAAGCCAAAATTGTCTATATGGCTACTATAGTAAGTGTTTCTTCTTCCAAAACAGTAAGTCTAGAGCACCTTCTAAATGTGGTGCCAGTATTCTTCAGCATGGAAGAAGTTGACTGAAAAGAGGTTTAGTGACTAGTGGAATATACAGAGGGAAGCACAGCTGACTTTTTTCATGTTGTAGCCTGTCTGACTACTTGTTGCTATGTTATCTTTCCTCAGATTGTTAAACTGACTATTTATAGAATGCTTCCAAAAAACCTTCAGAGAAGAACTATGATGCAGAGGCTGCACCTGTTCCCAGAAGATGTGAGTAGTCGTGCAGTTACATTTTCATTGCTGTGTGATTTGGAGGTGAAGAGAGACCGATAGAAACAGCAAAACTCTTGTCATAAGAAGATAGGAAAAATCAAGCTGTGTTTTATTTATGTATCTAATATAGCTGAAATGTTGATGCTCTTTTCTTTATTATTTCAGAAAATTGTGAGATACAAGACACGCGTGAGATTGTGTTCTGTTTTAGGTTAAACACTTAGCATGAAGAATGTGGAAGTGTTGACAAATTTTGGTCTGGATTTGTGGGGGAGTGGTCTCATTTTTTAAACAATCAGATAGCTAAGACTGTTCTTACCTGCCTCAGGTTATTCCAGAAGATATAGAGAAGAATCTTCTACAAGAGATTCCTCAGCCACGTGCAGTCCCCAAGAGGTTAGATGAATATACACCAGAAGAAATTGCTGCCTTTCCAAAGGTTTGGACTCCGTAAGTATCTTAGATTTTTTTAAGAGGACACTTTAACTGAATATGTATTGGATAGGCTCTCACATTATCGGTAATAGAATTATTTTTCTCTTTATGTCATCTGATTTTGAAAATAGGAGGTCATTAAAGCAAAGAACAGTCATACTAGAAGGGAGTGGTTGCTCAATTTTTTGTATTTCTGGCCTTTCTTTTAATGAGAAAAGCTTTACTTAAAATTGTATTTTCAACTCTTCTTCGAAATAAGCTGAGTAAAAGTTGGGTAAAAAACTTCATCTTTGTTACACTATTTGAGTTGTATGTGCTCTATAGTACATAACAGCCATAGCCAAAGGAAACACGATGTGGCTCTGTGAGAGAATGATTCATTGCCAGGGCGGGAGGCAACCCTTCAGATTTTCTCTAGAGGAAGGGAAAGTATTCTGCTAAATTAGACCTCGGAGAGTAGATCTTTGTCGGGGAACGTACCACGTGTTTATTTTGATAAATAGTTTCTTTTCCATGTGCAAAACCAGTTCCACACTAGTTGTGTGGTATATGAATGAGTATTTGTTGTTTGCTTTATACCACCACATGCAGCACTGAGTCAACCTGCTAGTGAAAATAAGGCGTTACATTGGAGATATTTTCAGATTAGTACCAGTATGATATTTCTTATGTTTAAGAGTCCCCTTTAGGCTAAGGATCCCATTATGGTAGTCAACAGAGAAATTAATTTTGAAAGATGGCCCCTTTCCTGAGTATTCTAATGAAATTCAAGAAGAAATGTAACAAGTGGGGAAGTGGGAAAGGTGTAAAACTGACACCAGGACCAGCTTGATGGTCCAGTTAGATTACTGGTATTTCTATTTCAATAGTAGTTTTTAAAAAAGAAGGTTATGATTTTCTTTGTCCTGTAAAAAAGTGTTCTTGTGTACTTACTCATACACTAATCCTAGAAAATAGAGCTGGTGTGAGTCTCAAATGGTATGTCATCCTATTGAGCAGTTCCACTGCACCAGATGTTAGGTGCATGTGGACAGAAATCAGCTGTTGAAATGGTAGTAGCATCTTACTTCTCATGAGTCTGCTTAAGACTCTTAACAGCTGAATGAACACAGAATGGTTGAGGATGGAAGGGACCTCTGGAGGTCATCTAGTCCAACATCCCTGCTTGAGCAAGGCCATCTGTTGACCAGGATGATGGCCAGACAGCTTTTGAATATCTCCAAGAATGGAGACTCCACAACATTTCTGGGCAAGCTGCTGCAGTGCTTGGTCACCCTCACAATAAAAGAGTGTCTCCTCATCTTCTAATGGAACCTCCTGTCTTTCACTTAGTCATGTTCAAATCAATAGGACTGAACACTTCATATTTTTACAGGAGGATTTAATAGGTTCAATGTAGATTTTCATGTCCAGTGGATTGCAGAACATTATTAGAGAATGATCTGCTGAATTTATGTGGTTTAGATTTGTAGCTAGTAGTGATTGCATAGTAGCAAGCCTTGTACAGTAGAAGAAATCACTGTACAGTAACAAAACCAGTAACCTTTCAAACAAAGGAAGCCTCTAAATACAAAGAGAGAGGGTGTTTTAAGTAGGAAGGTAAAGTTAATCTGGAGGAACAAAATAGAATTTGAATTAATGAAGAGAAGGGGAAATTCACATAAGAATAATACTCTTAAATGGTCTATCAGTAAAAACAGAAAGCAAATAATTTTTAGTGCATGGCCAAAGCTGTTGGTGTACCTTTAAAAGGGATCTGGTGCTTCTTGCTTGCTAGAATTAATATTGAAGGGGGGTTTTGTGTGTTTGTGTTTTTTTTTAAAGTAAATTAAACATTTTCAATTACAGCATGTATTTTCTCTGCATTATAAGGCACATGCAAATAAGGGCATTTACCCTTCATAGGCAGTGGAGTTAAGGCAGCAGAGGTACGTGGACAAGAGATATAACTTTTTCAGAAGAAAAGTGGTAATAGCATAACATAAATGAACACATGGGAAGGATCTTCTTGCAATTCAGGAGCAGAGTGTGCTTATAATTCCTTTTATGGGCCAGCAGCTCTTACTTCTTGAGCCAGACATATACAATTAAGAAATCCCATGAATTTATGAAGGACAAATGTCTGTATCTGTTTTGTATGTGTTTATAGGATTTGTATTCCTTTGTGGGGAAGACTGAGTAATGGTCCATTGTTCTGTCACATGTTTAACAGAAACCAAAATATTTTTTTAGTGAAACTTCTTAATGTTAGTGAGCTTTTGCTTGCAAATCCTAGTAATAACAGGAGAAAGTTAGTCGGTGACATTTATCTAGCCTTAAGTCAAGTGAAGAAGCCTGCACAGAAATATGTATTTATGTATAATGTGTATTTGTGCTAGCACATCCACACACATAGTAGTCGTACCGAGTCACACTGATTTTTCTTGTCAGAGATGGGATGACACATTTCATTTGTGGAATATTTTTCCTCTGCTTTTAGTGATTGAACTTCGTGAAGCATGTGATGTCATGAGTGTTGACTATATCACATGACTAGATCAGATGCACACCGTTTTGCTTTGGCTTTTTTGGGTGTTTTTCCTGTCTTGCAGTTAACGTGTAGGTTCTGAGTCAAAGTTTTAAGTGGATTCAAAAAAGCAAAGTGATTGACCATCAATGGCTATTAAATATGGTTCTCCAGATGTGACTCATGACTCAGGAAGTTGTAAATATTGCTGTATATTGATCTTGTGTTCTTAACTTTTTCTCTGTGCATCTACTACTGAGATGATGGAACTTTGATGTGACCTTGAAGAGTAGATCTTATATGTGTATAGTAAATAAATGAGCAGTTGATAAACAGCCTGTCTTATGATAAAATTTGAAATGTGTTGAATTCCTAATGCTGGACTTCTTTTAAGTGCTAAAGGTGAAGAGCTGTGGGAACGAAGCGGATAGAGTAGAGTATGATCTGAAGTCTTCCAGGTGATCAGTACTGACTTGTGCTTTTCTGCTCATTTTCAGTATGTAGAATTTAATGTATTTTTTGGTAGGATAAATTTAAATATCAGCTGAATGTTGCATGGAGAACACCTAAAAGAAGAATGTTCTGCACACAAAAAAAAAGCATGTTTGTTTATGTATCAGTAGCTAGACACTTCTTTGTGATAGTGCTTGTTTAATGTGTATTGACTTAGATCTTTGTTCTAAAATAGGGAAGGGGCACTGACAGCTTAAAAAGAAGAGAATTTTGGAAATTAATTGGGTTTTGTCATATTTCTATGTTCTCATGAATATGGATAATACTTTCAAAAGCTTATTAAAAAATCAGTTGTACTTAAGCTCCTGATCCTAGGCGGTAGTAAAGTCAAGTCTGTGCGTCTGTTCTGTGTAATTTGAGGCCCCTTGGTATTATGGTCTCTGTTGAAAGGAAACAAAGTCCAGTAATGCTTTAAGTCCTCTTCAGTGTAGAAATAAGTAGAATGAATTTGACTTTTTCTAACCTATATCAGTTACACACATTGCTATGTTTGGTTTTATCCTCACCACTGGATGGAGTTGAGAACGCTGAAATCTGGTTCCTATGAGATTTCATTGGATTACCCCTGAAGAAATTTAGACTCTGCACCAGTGACCAGAACTGTACAGTGCATTAGAGTAAAGCTGATAAGCCTCTCATGCTGTGTGGTATATTATATTCTCATATAACTGTCTTTAGTACTAATAGTAATAAAGATTCTTACATGATAATTTAGCACTGAATTGGAATCTGGCGGTTAGCTTTAACTAATTGGGAGTGTCCCTTTTGTTCTCTTTTGTACAAGGAAACCATGGTACGCTACCAGACCTTTTGAAATGCTTTCCTTTGTCCCTGCTCACTGCCATAGTCTTGCCTGAGTTCATCTTCTCAGCACTGGGCCACTTCACTCTGACATGTAGATGTGTGTGGCAGAGGACAAGTAAACTTGATGCCATAAAATTTAGTTACAGCCATCAAACTAAGTTTCCTGATAGCTTCATGTTAGCGTTGAGAAGACTACTTGAGTGTGTTGATCCTTGGGGAAAATCTGCAGGCAAGAACACTGTTCTGAAGCTAGATTTGAAGCTAGAATTCCTGTCCCATCATTTCTTGGAACCATACCCTCCAGGGGAATTAAAAGCACAGAGAAAATATGCATTCCCTCTTCGTATTCCTCTCTGCAGTCTCATCCTGATCTATTTCTGATAAGTGTTATCTGTATACAATCATTTTACTCCATGCCAGTTACAGAGGTAGGGGAGTGCTGCTGCCTTAGAAGCCCTGCAGCTGCAGCAGATTTTAAGGCTTTCAAATGAGAGGATCACAGTGCTTCTCTTGTGAGATGAGTGGGTGATTCAAGTGGGTATTCTGGTGAGAAGAACTGGGGGAATAGCTGGACCTGAGAGGAATGGAATAGAGGATCTGAAATGACTGAGAGAGATTACTAGAGAGGAGTGGAGTTAGTGGGCCCTGGGTAGGGTAGGGAGGAACAAAGGGGAATTTGGGAGAACTTTGAATGCTCTGAGTGGAGAGACTAGGCCAGAAGTTCCCCTTCAGTCATCTACTCCAGCTAGAGCCACTTTTAAAGGCAGGAGGATGTACCTAACACTGCTACAGTACCTTAGCTGTGTTGGACTTTAGTCCTACCTTTTCTGCTCTCAGCAACTGGTGAGTCCTAGCGGAGGGATCAAGAATGGAGGTGGTTATCTACCATCTCTCCACTAGCCACAGGGCTCATTGCCGAAGTCGCTGTTGTAATTTCAGCTTCTTGTCCTTGCCTGAAACCAGACCATTGTGGATGTCAGATATTAGTGTCAGATAAGTTTTAATTTAACCTTCAGCTCGCTACTTTGGCAGTCTCGATGTTGGGAAGAGTTTCCAATTTGAAGTAATGGGAAAAAATAATACTGTTTTTCTTCCTGACTGAGGGAGTGAATGTTACAGCGATTGTCTATCACTGAGAGTTCTAAGCAGGGAAGGGCTTAGTTGTGAAATAAAAGATACGGAATTGAGCAAA